AGCCTCCTCGCAATCTCCTCATCATGGCTCATGTCTGGCCGACCGCCGGCGCGAGGAGTTGAGAGATCGAGGATGTCGGGGACGGTGGAGGCGACGGAGGCAGCAAGGGCGGCGGAGATGACCGGGGCGGCGGGGACAACACCCACCGGCGGGGTTGAGCCTTCGGCTCGTCCTCGTCGGAGAGCTCGATCACCACCTCCATTGCGGACGGCGCCGACTAGGTCGGGAGCCCGACCGGAGATCCCGGCGCGGCAACTTCATCGACCCCAGCTTCCTCTCCTGGGACTGTTGGGGCTGGAGCCGCCAGCATCATCGCTTGCGGCAATGCCGCCACTAGGGCTAGGGCTCTAGAGGACTTCGAGGACAAAGACGCAGGCGCAGACGGCGGAGGCGATGGCGTACTACTCGATGACGACGCCGTGGCAGATTGGTCAGGCGACTACGCGAGCAGCAGACGCGGCACTTTGTGAGCACGTTTGCGGCCAGCGGTATTCTATCTCATCTTTGCTATGAGATTTGGGAATGGATGTTGCATATTCACCACGAGCGGGCCTGATTAAATAGGACCAAGCCGCCTTTCTAGGAATCTCAACCGCCATCTCAATAAAAAAAGGAATTAAATCTCCACCACGTGCACTCACGGAAAACCGAGCCGATGCAGCGCTTCGACTGCCAGACAACTGTGCGTCCTATCGCTTGCGTGTGAAATGGGATTGACTAGACAGGGCGACCCGGGGATGGCACTAGAAGAAGCACATCTCCCAACAGCGCAACTCTCTCTAATCTTCACAAGATCGGGTCTTAAGTCACGACTGGCAGCTCGGGTGACATCCGTTCACACCAGAGTATAGGCCGGCCGACTAAAACAATCCTGATTACTCATAGGCAGTCGAGTTACGTTTGACAGATAAGCTTGGGGGCTTATGTCGATGCCATACCCCCAGGTATCCCGACTTCCATATTGCCGACTACCTACTCAGGATCAGAGACGACCCAAAGGCCCACGACGACCCTATTTAAGGAAGGATATCTTCGGATTGTGCCAGGACTCTGACTAGGGCACGACTCCTTAGCTTGTAGGGCAAGCTGATTCCGGATATAAATAGATATTAATATCCCTTATTGTAATCATCGACTCTTTCATAGGCCTAGCCACATTGTAATCGCAATCTCACCGAATACAAGCTTTTACTCAATATTAAGTGTAATCGCAATCTCACCGAGTAATAACTGGACGTATGGCTTTTACTCGCTTTCCGGGGGCCTGAACCAGTATAAATCTCGTCTCTATCTATGATTGTTCTTCGCACCAAGCAGGGTTCCCCAGGAACCAACTATCTGCCGGTAAAAAACACCGACAAAGAGCATTGAAGTACTAGAAGTTTCCAATATCATCTAGAATTACTCAATATTAAGTAAAAATTGAGTCAAAATTTTTAGGTAGCTCTATGAACCAGGATATGTGACTTGCATATATTATACTCCTAGAAGGATTGAGCAAGCATGAAGCCGCTAAATGTCAAACATTGAAGCTAAGACATGTAAGAATGGATAGAGATTAGAGCATTTAAAGTTTCTCCTGAAAAAGAACTTAAATCATGTGCTTATAGATTTATTTCTTTTGAAATTCGTATCCTGAAGCATTTAATATTCTTAGTTGTAATTTTTACTTGTAGTAATATATGTTAATCTTGCATGGAATGAATTAGATTTATATGCTTTACATATAAACAATTGTCTAAATAAGTTTTGCATCAATTTTATCCACAAAGAAGCCTCAATTAACCATGAAGGTTATAGTTCTTTATGCACTACTACCATGTAGGTAGAAGGAAAACTGAATTTTCTAGAAGCACATGAACAATTGGATTATACCTGCATATGAATTAATCTTAGAAGGACTAGTTTAGCCAAGAAACTGTATAATCATAAAACTAAGTATTTAATATTTTAGCTTGAAAACTAGAAGTTTATGTTCTATCCTAAATATATTGTTGTACACTAAATAGTATACTGGATGTATGAACTTCATGCCACAATCAATGAATACTAGAAGTATGACTAGATTCTATGGAACATTAAAAATGGTTATTCATAGATGATGGATGAAGCATATTACTATTTAAAGTAATTATGGCATGAAAAGGGGAGGAACTTTGGGTAAAGGCATAAGAAGATGTGGGTAATATATTTAATAGGCATAGCCTTCCTAAATCTATCTTTAAGTGCATGTATCAGGACTTAAAGTCCTATCCGTATTCCTTCCGGCTAATTAACTTTCTCTACATTGCACTAATTGCAAGCAAGCTTGTAGCTTTATATTTTATTATTATCTATTACGTTGGATTGAATACCAATATTCCACATTACACATTACACATGCATGTGTATCGCTATGTTGTTCTCTCATTGAGCTGCAACTATCTCCACTCTTCTTTGCACTTCCCCCATAATTAAATTGGCTAGCTAGCACGCTATGCCTATAGTTCTCGTTGAACTAAGGAATATTTTGCTTTCAATGCATGCAAGCATAAGCAATAGATTGGTCTAAGGCTAGGTAGCCTAAAGATTAGGTGGAGTTGGTTAATCTGAAATTGGCTAAATGAAGAAGTGACCTAATCGAATGGGCTGGATTATAGTGGAAATTGAGTTGGTGGATAACACATTTATGATGATTTGGGATTTATGAAAAAAGACTTTCAGGGAGTTTTGCATTAATGGCAATTAGAAAATTCTAGAAGAAATTTCATGTAAGTTTGAATGTTGTGTATTCTATACTTTTAAAGTATGGTCTATTTTTTTTATGTATGAGTACTTGGATCGATTTTTTGGCTAAACAATAAAGAAGCTAGACAATAAAATAGTTTTCTAAACTATGATATGTGCATATCAGGGGGAGAATATCCCTGAGTTTGTAGGAATGTTTTGCATTTTATGTATTCTAGCTCAGTGCATATAACCACCCGTATTTAAATATGTGCGTAAATATTTTCCATAAAATTTTATCATAGCATACATGGATGGGCCTCCGCTTATAGTCGGAGATACATAAATTTGAATTATTTTAGGCCCATCATAGGGGATATCTTTTGAAGTATGCAATTAAAGATCTAATATTGGCATTAGGGGGAGAGAAAGCCTATTTTGAATGCCAAATATTATTTCCACATAAGGAAAATGATCTTCAGAGTCAAATATTCCTTGAAACTTGAAGAAGAAATAATATCACACACTAAATCAAACAATAGTTTGATTAATGCTCTTGCAAAACGGAGCATATGCCAGATATTTTAGAAAAATGAGAGGAGTAAGTTGAAGTTACAAACCAGAAGTTGTGTTTACTAGTAGTAAACTAAATGTTGTATACTATTAAGCTAAAATCTACGGGGATGCCTGTGGGTTTTAATTTAGTGTATACTTGTTAAATAAAATAAGAACAAACTCCTCCATTCTCATGAAGAGAACACCTCATGAAGAAGGTTAAGCACCTCATGAAGAGGATCATCATGAAGATGAAATCCAACACACTAAGCACGCGCATCATTATTGTTGGATATGCAAAACAATAAATTATCTCTTGTTTGGGAAATAACGAAGAGAAATAATCTTATATTATGAGAATATTAGGAGAAAATAATAGTTGTCGACAACACTACCTCTATAATTGCAAATGTTTCTCGTATGAGAACCCGGATCAAAAAAATAAAGTCCATGGCAAATTCGCTTATAGCGATTATATCGGGCCAATGAAGAAAGCAATTGAGGTTGAATCTCCTATCGAGAAGAATAAATATTCTGCTATATCTCTGATAAATGAATTGAATGATTATGTAATATGCAGTTAATAAATGGATTATGAAAATCCATATAATTCATAAAGAATATAAATCGCAACATAGGAAAATTAAATCTCATACAAGTACTAAGAAGTCTAAGGTAGAATATATTCAAGAATGAATATCGAAGTCTCAAGAAGAGCATGTCCTAGAAGGAATAGAGTCATTGAATAACTTAGTAGTGAATAACACTATCTCATTGTGTATATCACATAATAATCTCCCATGTAGCAGAGAATATATCTCATAGAAGAGAAATATTATTCACTAAGAATTAGAACATCCTTGAAGAATTTAATCCATGAAGGATTTACCATTCGATTCTTGAATAAACACCATTAATCATTGACGTGAATGTAAACCCGAGAGAAAAAATGAGGAATCCTAAACACTATGAAGGTGTCATAAGAACACTCAGAAAGTGCAAAATGAAAGCTAGCAATGAAGTGGAGATATCCTCTAAATACCATAGAATGAAGGTATAAGAAAAATGGTGATTTTGACAATTGAATTATCCCCTAAATGCCAAATGCAAGACTGGATTTATTATTTAGTGGTACAATCAAAATCCTAAAGATTTGTATAACATATAATTCGAAAAATCACTACAGAAGAATATAAGTATTCAAACTATAGTATAAGTTTGATGCACTATCTAGAAGATATTGAATATTAATTATTTACCCCCATAATCCTATGAAAGGATTTATTATCCCAAAGGATAAATTTTATTTGTTTTGCACAACTAATAAGTGGTTATTTATGCATGAAGCATATTGCTCTTGTTTACTCATATTATAATTCATAGAAGAATTGCGAGCCAACATTTTGAAAGATTTGTGGTACAGCATCTCCTACAACTAAAAAGAACAAAGCGTGGATATTTTTTGGTGCGATATTTCTTTTGGTTCGTCCATCTACCCACTTGCGATCCCTGCCTCCCGTCCACACGCAAGTCGCTTAAAAAGGAAAGCCACAATCACTGCACCCCCCACCCCCACCCACCCCTGCGATGGATCCATCCCCACCCCACCTCGACACGAGCGAGGCAAGCCACCAGGACGAGGGCGTCGGCCACCAGGCGAGGCAAGGGCGCCTTCTAGGCCGCCGCCGGACACCCAAGCGAGGGCGATGCCAGGCCACCGGCCACCAGGCCACCAGGCGATGGAGCGCCTCCGCCTCAGATCCAACCCCCACCGATGCGAAGGCACAGGAGCTAGGGTTTCAATCATCCGTGAGAAGGAGAACGGCGGTGGAGCATGGGAGCCCCTGCGGGCGTGCGACCACCCCCTGGCGGCGCAAGATAGGGCGCACGACCACACCCGGCGACGCGCGGGACGGGGAGCGTGGTGTGGGCTCGGAGCGCGGCAGCCGCCATCCTCGCCATCGCGGACGCCATCCCCGCCATCGCGGACGCCATCCCCGCCGCCGCGGCTCTCCATCCCTGCTGTGGATCTAGATCCAGGTCCGTTCTCTCTCCCTCCCTCCCCGTAGCTCCTAAATCGGTCTGCTTGGGGTGTAGTTGATTTCTCCATGGATGAACATTTTGGTGCTTTGAAAAGGGTGAGAAGTGCAGTGTATTTATTTCATCGCTATTGGCAGATAAATCAAAATGATGAAAGAAAGAGTGTATTTTCTTGCAAATCTATCTTTTCTATCACTAGCTAGATAAATTGGATCTATGTTTTTTTCCCTTAAGCACTCTACTTCTGACACAGATTTTCTATGGTGGAATGAATGCGAAATTTGCATTGCCCAATTTATTATTTATTTTCAGTGATATTCTTTTGGGACTGAATATTGTGAGTTTTTTGAAACGCTGAAACTTCAAATTTGGTTTGACTCCTTATGCTTGCTACCATTTCCTTTTCATTTGTGGTTTGACTGGTTCTATATATAGTTGCCGTTTGTGTAGATTTGTGTACAGTAGCAATAGTAGCATCAATGCCCACACACTAGCTCTTGTTCTGTGTGCAGTGCTACCCAATTGTTTATGAAAGGCTTCTATTACCTAACCTGTCACCGTGAACTATACTCATATCTACTAGCGTTTCTCAAGTGTGTAGCAATGTGTTGCAAAACACTGAAATAGTAGTTGCACTTTAACAAGCGACTCTGTTTCTGTCTCTATTTTTTTGTTGGTCATATCTCTGAAATAGGTAGGATGACAGTTAATTTGATTAACACAAAAGTTTATTAAATAATACGTTCAGTTAGCTTTGTCTTTAGAGAAAAGCTACCTGGTCACACATTCATTATTTTACTGATAAACAATACAAAACAAATGATATTTCATTTCAGTGGCATAGATTACGCTCGATCATTGCCGAGAAATAGACAGATGCAGTGATGCACTATCCTGAAACCAAACTTGCATTCTTATCAGGAGGTCAGATTCATGAGCTGCCTTTTCTGAAATAGCAAGTACACTGCACAACAATGTTGAACATATACAGGTTGTCCACTCCAATCCATTGGTTTTTTTGCCGTTGCTAGCCGAACCTTTGCTCGACGCTGGTTGCCATTTTGCATGGCTGTTCATATTTTGTAGATGTATGTTTCAAAGCACTTACATAGAATTTGCAAAGCACTGAAATAGTAGTTGCATTCTAACATGTCTCTGTTTTCTTTGTTGGTCATATCTTTGAAACAGGTAGGAGGGCTGCTAATTTAATTGGCACAGAAGTTTGTTAAATAATAAGCTCGGTAAGTTTTCTCTGTAGAATAAGAAGCTAAACACATGAGCTTGTTACATTGTATTCATCAAATGCATATTCCGTTTGCTAATTTGCCTTACAAACTCATGACGACTCTATATGAATCGTTAGTCAGAAAAACTGAAGCCTACTTTATCAGTGTCTTCAAACAACATGTGTTCAAATGTAAAGCCTCTCTGAGCAAGCGACAATGTAGTACCATCACACAAATGCTATTTTGATAATCAAGTTTCCTTGTGACTATTTTGATCTGTTCTACTCAAGTAGTCATTTTACTGGCAACCAGAAAGTAGATATAAGGACATGATTATGTAGACAAATTGTGAAATAGCAAAGTCCTTGGATTATGGAAACTTGAAATTAAATGAACTGCTATGAGAACAATGCTGAAGGTGTGAAAATAATTACCTAGCTATCAAATCATACGTGTCATAAAACTGAGTGTAGGTGGTGCCCCTGGTAGAATATTCACTAAATGATGATCTAAAGAGATAATAAATTTGCTCAATGTAAGACAAAGTGCGGTGCTACCATGACACATGCTGGGCTATTCCCCTTTTTTATACAGATTTCATACTAAGTGAGGTTTTTATACTAATGTGTATTGTGCTCATGAAGGGAGGCTTCTTCAGACTATGTTGAATTCTGCTTGACATTTGGAGACAGGGTAAATTACTCATCCTTTCCATTCAGCTCCTAACCGCGACAAGTATATCAGGTAAAACATATAGTTGCTAATTTCTTTCTATTTCAAGGCAAAAACTCAGAAGTCTGAGTTGCATAGTGCAAATTTACTTCAGGCCTTGTTTAGATTGAAAGAAATTTCAATCCGATGAATAGTAGCACTTTCGTCTTATTTGGTAAATATTGTCCAATCATGGACCAACTAAGCTCAAAAGATTCATCTCGTGATTTCCAACTAAACTGTGCAATTAGTTATTTTTTTTACCTATATTTAATGCTCCATGCAAACGGCTAAAAATTGATGTGATGGAGAGAGAGTGAAAAAACTTGGAATTTTGAGGGTAACTAAACAAGGCCTCAGTTAATATGTTCCTCACCTTGAGCAGGTCAGAAATTGATTGGTGTTGCTGGCAGTACTGCATATGTGACACCTGAGGTTCTACTAGGAAATTACTTGCAAAAGGTATAGATATAGGGGCTGCCAGGGTGCTTCTGCATGTTCTACTGATGGGCAGTCTTCCATTGCAAGGAAACTCTGATCACAAGATTTTGTCTGAAACTGGCCTACTACATTCAAGTCCAGCGAATTCTAGTTCCTTGCATGCCAACGACCCAGTAATGGTGCACTATAAATTGTTCTATATCCACACTATGTATACATTATGAAAACAAAAGTTATTGTGTATAAATCATATGTAAATATTATGTTAGTCCTGATATTGGCATTTGAACAAGTACATAATTTCATTCAAGTTTCTAGGTCCGAGAAAAGATTATATTTGATATGCAATTAGGTGCATATCCTCATTTTTTTTTGTGGTATGCAGCATCCATTTTAGGATTGAGCATTACCAGGACTGGAGGAACTCATGCTCCGGAGATAGCATTCCTCATTCCAATTATAGATAGAACCAAAGGTAGCATAGAAAATTTTCAGTTCTTTGTAAGTTTGTAGAGAAATATAAAATCCATGCTTGACAAGATAGAAGTCTGGAATGTTGTGATGTTATGAAAATGTTGAAGGGAAGTCTCAATTGGGGACGCACGGGCATTTCAATAATGCTGCATTTTGTTGATATACGTGCATTATATAGTTTGATTAATATTTCATTTCCACTTACTTATACCAGTGATGCAAATTAATAAATAGATCATGTGTCGCTTTAACTTTATTATTGGCATGAACATCAATAGGTTCATGTCCATGCGTTGCTACGGGATAGTTAACATTTTATACTAAAAACATACGGATCACACGATAAGATAACAATACTATAAAATTAAATACTAACATTAAAGTGACATTTAATCATCGCTCGCCCCCATTCCCTTCGTGCGAAACAAAACCTTGACCGCTCTCTTTAACGTTGGTATTTCATTTCACAAATTTTGCTTTTTGATTAAATATCACTTTAACGTTGGTATTTAATTTTACAGTATTATTATCTTATCGTGCAATCCGTGTGCATTTAGTATAAAATGTTAACTATCCCGTAGCAACGCACGGGCATAAACCTAGTACCATTATTAAGCACACACTTATAAAAAGTGTGGTTTGAACAATGATGTCCAAAGGATGACTTTATGAGGGGGAGCAATTTGATTGAATCTACCTTGAAGGTAATTAAAACCACTAGATTTACAAAAATCAAGTAGATCATATCATATTTGCTAAAACATTGAAGTTTACGCATATAGATCATGAAGATCAATATCTATTCATGAAGAATATAATATCATGAAGAATACATGACCAAGAAGGTTAAATGTTGTACTCTTTTTTCCCTATGTGAGTTTTTACTTAGGTTTCTCACACAAGGTTTTTAATGAGGCGACATGTGCAATGTAATTAACGAATGGATTTTCGGATGGAGTTTTTAATGAGGTCGTCCAAGGTGGAATGTTGTAAAACATACGGACTCTATCCTAGAAGGAAAGGAGAATGAGGAATCATAATCCCAGTACATTTATATGCGGATTTTTATCAAAATCTTAAGCCTTGGTAGGACTATATATATACGTGAGAGTTCTATACAATATTAAGAAAAATAAAAAATAGTCATTCTGTAGCCTAGAAACATATTACTTTTCGGATTCGGCTTTTTTTGGGATCCGTGGCGTGGCCGTCTCCTCGTCACAGCTTTTCCCTACCTCGTCGCCTCGTAAAGTGCTCTTGCTCGATCACCTTTTTCTTGGTGCCAACACAACGCAGCGTCCTTTATCCTGATATATGATTTAGATTCCCGATCATGCTGTTCGGTTACGGTCGTGATCAGAACAAATTTGCGCGACGGTTTCATCTCGCCATCGCAACTTTTCGCTCTGAATGTTGGCCTTCAGCTTCAGCTTCCGTGAACGTATCTACCAATGCACAGTAGGCGCTGAACCTTCCACTCTGCAGGCATCGTTTTCCGTAGGCTACCTCGAGGTCCAACTGCTGCAAAAGCAGAATCCCAGACGTTGGGGCGAACAGAATCTGACCGATTTATCGGCGTCGAGATCGACGTGTATGGCCCATCGTCTACATGCACGCGTGATGCTCAGTTGCTAACATGATACGAAGATTTACTAGACTGCTACTCGTAGCATGGTACATTCGTCTCCAACGTGCCGGCCTGGACTGGCGCGACGGCGACCATAGATGTATCTCACGGATCATGAGAGCCTTCTCTTTTTTTTTTCTGTGGAATGTATCTTAGTCGGATCGGATTTCTCTCGCGATCACTGAAGAGGTTACTCTCGCACGCCTCGAATACGATGCATGATGATTCCACGGTGCCGATCGATCGCCGACGAACTCGATGGATCAACGAGTCAGCAGCGGCACGCGCGCGCGCGTCGATCGCCGACGCACAGAACGATGGTGTCCACCAGCGGCAAAAGGGGGGTGTGCTCGATTAGGACGCGCAATTGTATGCGGCGGCCATGGTCCCCTAGCCGCATCATCACATCGTGAAATAAACCTTGTTGAACGCCAGCCATTCCGCTCGTTTCATCGCTCGCTCCGGCCGCCGGGAGCCCGGGACCTGCCTAGCTGCACGCTTTTCTCAGGTCTACAGCATTCGTGGAAGTGTCCTTATATGGATTGTGAAGACAGCTCTATCCATGGTCGATGCTACCAGATCTGTAGGGACTGTATATGGATTGTAAAGTGCCAAAGTGGCGAAGCGTTGTTGTTGCCAGCAGCCGAGCACCAAAAATCCGCCGGTGATTCCTCGTGTACGAACTTCGGCCATTTGAGTTGCAGCGGATTGGATTAGTGCCGAAGTGGCAACGTGCTATTCCTAGTAGCCGAGCACCACAAAGCCGGTGATACCTCGTGTACTAACCTGGGCCGTACTAAAATAGAAGTCATTCTCGCTTTTCCGAAAAGTAATTTTTTTAACTTTGATCAATTATATATAAAAGAATATTAATATTTATAATACATAATTAGTATCATTAGTTGAATCATTGAATAAACTTTCATAATAAACTTATTTCGAGATATAATTATTGCACGCATTTTCTATACACGTAATTAAATTTGAGAAAATTTGACCTACACATATCACATAGCGACTTTCTTTCTAGACGGAGCGAGTATATTTGAGTTGCTGCAGTTTGGATTAGGTTATCAGGTTCTCTTCTCATAGGCCCACTCAAGAGTAAAAAAAGAGAGCATTTTTTAGCATTTTTTACTGTTGCCATCTTTTTTTTCACCGTCGTAGTATGCTGCCAATTGGGCTGCTATTTTTGGATGTTTGGGCTGTAAAAGGAAGACAAAAATCCTAATCGAAAGTCAATTTAGAGTTGAGGTTGGCATAACAACGTAACCCAATTGAGAGTAAAAAACATCTACTATTTTTTATTGGCGCTTGACGTAAGCTAGCAACAATGTAAATTTCTATTTCCACTGATTTTAGTATGAGAGACGAATTACCTGTATGGCCTTCAAAAAAAACTACGGCTTCCTTGCATGGTCTTTTTTTTTTGAAGTTACGTATAAGGCCCGAAAACGATTTTGACTTACTTGTATGGCTTTCTGTCTATTTCAGCCACTTAACGGTATGACCATTTTACCCCTGACAAAAAAAGCTTAAAGTGGCAACACCAATGCAAAGGCATTTGATAAGCTAATTTTACTGCAATTGTATTTGTGTATCTTATTATGTACTATACTATCTCATGTTCAACAATAATATATTTTTAATTTTATGTAATTATGAGCACTTTAAACCGTGCGCAATATTACTCCAAATCTAAAACAGAAAAATTAAACTATGCACTTTTCACTAGGGGTAAAATGGTCAT